ATCTCTCTCTCCTCCACCACCACACTCTGTCTCCTACCTTCAAGCCAATTTTATATCTAAATGGCTAGTTCTTCCTGTAATTCCATGCAATCTAATCTTGCTAACTGGTCTACCATGCAGAACCTTGTCAAACACCTTACTGAAGTTCATATAGACAATGTCCACTGCTCTACATTCATCAATCTTCTTTGCTACTTCTTCAAAAGTTTAAGACATATGGATAAGGACTGGGAGTAGACCATTTGGCCCCTTAATCCCACTCAATCAATCAATAAGATCATGGTTGATCTGAATGTAATCTCAGATTCACACCTACCCATGCTAACCATTCGCTCTCCATCTTACAAAAATTGTGTCCACCTCTGGTTAATACTATTCAAAGACTATGCTTCCATTACCTTTCCAGGAATAGCATTAATAAGGCTCACAACCCTCTGTGAGAGAGAGAAAAAAAAAATGCTGATCTCTATTTTAAATGGGTGACCCATTACTTCTAAAGCGTGACCCCTAGCTTTAGAAAAAATCCATGCCTCCTAAGTATTTGCACTAGGAGTTAAGTCTGGTATTAAAATAATGGCTGAAGTAATACAATATACAATGCTAATCATTCTTCCACTGGAATCTTATAACAACAACTTCTAAACAGTGACTTATGTTTTGCCTAAAGAAATCAATAGTTTTTCTTCTTTATATATAAATTCTTCATCTAGTGAGTTGGGGAAGAGTTACAAAGTCCTCTGTCCACATGAGGGCAGTACAAAGAAAAATAAAAAGTTAGGTGAAATCTACAAGACCTTTTCTGAAAGAATCACTTCATCACATGATTGTACAGAATAGTTTGCAAAGGTTTGTGTTAGTCAATTAAAGCTAGCTTCAGAGCTGCAATTCATGGTCAACTTGAATTGTGAACTCTTAACAGGAACTTTGATCTTGCACATTTCTCGCAATGTGAGTTGTACCAACTGAGGATAATCCATATAAATAAAAATTGTAAAAAGGTAAATACAGAAGACATTGTATTTAAATAGTTTCTTGTGGTTGGATTCATTTTTTTCTCATCTCAGATGGCATTTCCAATTCTTCCCCAATTTCGACATTGAAGTTGTTCGAATCAAGAAGTTTAAGATATTTTAGAGAAACTATAATCACAGAAGTGATTCAAAACTGTGTGGATGCTGCTGAGTTGTTTTAACACAGACAGATTAAGTTGTGAACTGAGTTGGTCAGCGTGGACAGTTGGATTGACCAATGTGCTCAGTGCTAATGGACACACATCTCAGTGTTTGTGTTTAGCACAAAACAGACTCAAAGTCATAGAGTAATATAGATATACAGCACAGAAACAGAACCTTTGGTCCAACTCATCCATGTCAACCAGATATCCTGCATAAATCTGGTCCCATTTGCCAGCATTTGGACCATATCCCTCTCACCCCTTCCTATTCATATATCCATCCAAATGCCTTTTAAATGTTGTAATCATACCGGCCTCCATCACTTCCTCTGGCAGCTCATTCCATGTATGCATCACTGTCTGCATGAAAAAGTTGCCCCTTAGGTCCCTTTTATATCTTTCCTCTCTCGCCTTAAACCTATGTCCTCTAGTTTTGGACTCCCCACCCTGGGGAAAAGACCTTGCATATTTACCCTATCCATACCCCTCATGATTTTATAAACCTATATAAGGTCACCCCTCAGTCTACAACGCTCCAGGGAAAATAGTCCTAGTCTATCTAGCCTCTCCCTATATCTCAAACCCTCCAACCCTGGTAATGCCCTCGTAAATATTTTCTGAACCCCTTCATGTTTCACGACATCCTTCCTATAGGAGGGAGACCAGAATTGCATGCAATACTCCAAAAGAGGCTGAACCAATGTCCTGTATAGCGACAACATGACCTCTGAACTCCTATGCTCAATGCACTGACCAACAAGGGAAGCTTACCAAATGTCTTCTTCACTACCCTATCTACCTGTGACTCCACCTTCAAGGAACTATGAACCTGCACTCCAAGGTCTCTTTGTTCAGCAACACTCCCCAGGACCTTATCATTAAGTGTACAGGTCCTGCCCTGATTTGCCTTTCTGAAATGCAGCACCTCACATTTATCTAAATTAAATTCCATCTGCCATTCCTCAGCCCATCGGTCCATCTGATCAAGATCCCGTTGTACTCTGATGTAACCTTCTTTGCTGTCCACTACACCTCCAATTTTGGTGTCATCTGCAAACTTACTAACCATACTTCCTATATTCACATCCAAATCATTTATTTAAATGACAAAAAGCAGTGGACCCAGCACCGAACTTTGCAGCATACCGCTGGTCACAGGCATCCAGTCCGAAAAGCAACCCTCCACCACTGCCCTCTGTCTTCTAGTTCGAGCCAGTTCTACACCCAAATAGCTAGTTCTCCCTATATTCTGCATGATCTAACCTTGCTAACTAGTCTACCATGAGGAACCTGTTGAACGTCTTACTGAAGTCCATATAGATCACATCAAGAGCTCTGCTCTCATCAGTCCTCTTTGTTACTTCTTCAAAAACTCAAAAAGAGTTCAGCTAAATTTTTGGTTTCTGAGTTTTCTTCCTTATTTGATGCTGCCCTGAAGATGCTGGGGTCAAACTTCATTCAGCATGTGCCAAAGTCAATTCTGCTCTCAGAGAAATACCACAGACTTGAAATGAAATACCTGTATCAAATCAAATGAATTGTTCTTCCCAATGGTTGTGTTGAGTAATTTTGACTGATACCAGATCAACTCACATAAGTCAGGAGACCCCAGCTGCATTCAAAAGCCCCAGCCTAAGTGACTAGTGTGATCCATGGCTTCAGGCACTGTTGCCAACCCCTCCAGGACTCTCCTGTGTTGGAACTCTTTGGGAATGAAGGACATAACTTGAATGCATTTGTTATCTCTCTTACTGTTTTGATCATAAACCACAATACTGGTATTGTCACAGATTTAGTGGTTATGTTACAAAAAGTAAAACAAAGACTGTGGATGTTGGACATCTGAAAAAAAAATGGAAATTGCTGGAGAAACTCGGCAGGCCTGGCAGCATCTATGTGGAGCAAAAAGAGTTAATGTTATGAGTTCAGTGACCCTTCATCAGCTGTCTTGTAGCATTTATTCTGTATTCTCCCCACAGATGCTACCAGACCTGCTGAGTTTCTCCAGCAATTTCTGTTTTTGCTACAAAATGTTTTGGACTTGGTATGAGTTATGATGGTGTAACCTACCTGCAATGCATGTTATGCCCGATTCACATTAAGCTTGATTGTTTTTTGAGACAAATTAGACACCCCATTTCTTGTCATATAAAATTTGTTGGTATTAAGCTGATATAGTAGGTGTCTATTCTCTCATCTATACTATGCAGAATTTAATATGTGTTATCTTTGATCTACATTAAACTGGGTTTTGTTACATGGAACACTTATAGAATCATAGAGATGTACAATATGGAAACAGACCCTTTGGTCCAACTCGTCCATGCTGACCAGATATCCTAAATTAATCCAGTCCCATTTGCCAGCATTTGGCCCAGATCCCTCTAAACCCTTCCTATTCATGTATATCCAAATGCCTTTCAAATGTTGTAATTATACCAGCTTCCCTACTTCTCTGGCAGCTCGTTCCATACACGGACCGCTCTCTATGTGAAGAAGTTGCCCCCTTAGGTCCCTAATAAATCTTTTCCTCTCACCTTAAACCTATGCCCTCTAGTTTTGGATTCCCCTACCTTGGCTGTCCACCCTATGCCATGCCCCTCATGATTTTATAAACTTCTGTACAACTTCTGGCATATTCAGAGACAGATTTGATGTGTTATTTGCTGGTGCATACTACACTGTTAGAGATTCTAGCTTTTGTAAGGGACATTATGTGGAGACCCCCCACATTGGATGGATGCAAAAGACCTCAGGGCCATATTTTGAAGAACAGCAGTTAAATTATCTTTCAACTTACAGCACAAAAAGCAGATTATCTGGTCCTCTAGTTCATATGATCTTCCTATGTGCAACTAGGCACCACATTTCCCATATTACACTTTTAAAAGTGCATCATTAGCTGTAAAGCGCTCTGGGACATCCGATATTGGTAATACACTATATAAGTCCAAGCTTTCTTTCTGACATAAACTCATACAGTTTTGTAATTATTTCCATTTTCACCTTGTGGAGAGAAAAGGGTTAAGAGACATGTTGCAAAGCGTTTTGCTATATTTTGGGAGTACATCTGTTGCAGAATGAGAGTAGGTTGCTTACGGTGTGTGTTGGCTGTCGTCGTGGCGTTTTGGCCGGAGGTTTTTCTCATTTCCTGGACTACAGTCACTTCCGTATTAGAGAGCGAAGGGTTAACTTTATTACCTAACGGTGTGTGTGTGACTGTCAGCTGACTATGAGAGTCAGACATTGATCTCAGCTCAGTCTGAACAGTGCTGGGACTTTCTCTATATAAACAAAGGTAGGAAAATCTGGTGGGGGTAACAGTGAGTGCTTTGTTCTCTTATTAGGTAATGCGGACGCCAAACGCTGAAAAGTGCCGCAAGCTTCGCAAACGGGCGAATGCCATTGTCATTTGTAAGGTGTATGTGGGAATCCACCCAATTGCGGCTGTGACTGTGCCTGCAGGGCTCGGCTGTTGATATTTGTTCCAGGGTATCTTTCTGCCAGAGCTTTTCGGACGTTTGGTTTCAGTCTTAATATTTTTTTGTTGTCTCACTCCCTCTCTCAACTTGGTAGGATTTAGACTGCAGACATTATGTTCCTACCGGTTTCTTTTCGGGCCCAGTGAAACTGTAAAGAGCAGCTGTAATCTGAAATTGATCTATTATTGTAACCATTTGCTAATGATACATCCACACTTCCGGTCTCAGTTCATAGAAACATCTGCTAGTGAGTAAATTATATTCTCCCCTCTGGATTCAGAAGGTCGTGGGTTCAAGTCCTACTCTCGAAACTTGAGTATATTATTTGGGTTGAACACTGTAAATGCAGTACTAAGGGAGTGCTGCGCTGTCGGGGTTGGGGGGACGCTAAAACGAGACTCTATCTCATTTGGGGTGGGAAAGGTGGAACAGTCCCACAGCACTGATGTGAAGAAAATAAAAGTGTGTTCTTGTTACTCCCTCACTGATATTAATGGCATTCTGCTTGTGGGACTACAAGAAAATACGGAGGGCACTGTAATCCTGCAGTAAAAATATAAATTACTGGAAATGTTTTGCTGGTCTGGCGACGTTTCTGGAGGGAGAAGCAGTCAACGTTTTAAGTCAGGGACTGATTAGTGGGAGATTTTTGTTGGTGATTGGCCTAAAATCCACATTGGCTAATGATTACACCTCAGGTTTCCTTGGTTATAAAACACTTTTGGTAAGGGTTATAAAAGGTTTAATAAAAATATGAATTAATTGTTTCTGTCATCACCGTACTTAAACTGGCACCTTTTTAGGTCCCGGAACTGCTGTGGCTTGTAAATGTCGCCTCTTAAAGAGACTGATTATTTCATATCGTTTTCTTATGGGGGAGCTTTAATGAAAAGGAATCCATTTCCAAAAACAAAAACTGACTAATAACATGATGTATGTTGCAAAAATCTCTCCCTGTGCTGGATTTCCACAAGTACTTTCTCATACCACCCAATAACCATTATCTATGCTTGATCCTTAGTGGGTCAACAACCTATACAACTGCAGGAGGCATCACATTTGAGCTCACTGTTTCCTATGTTTTTCGTGGGGATTGATGAATAGAAAGCAGGAGCAAGACTTTTTTTTTTCCCCCTCTCCTCTTTAATTCTGGGCATTGAGACCAATGATAATACCATTCCTGAGATAACAAGATGTAGAGCTGGATGAACACAGCAGGCCAAGCAGCATCAGAGG